GTTATTTTTACGAAAAGGTGTTTTTAGTTTGTTTAAAGTTTCAACTTTTTCAATTTGGCAACTTTGTTTTGTTTGGCATCATAAGGGACAATTGTTGATCAAAGTGAGCAATGTTGGCTCTTTTTAATCACACATGTCGATGGTCCTATCTCCCTAGACTTTTCATCCAAATGCTATGTTTTGGCTTTGTTTTGTAATTGGTTTTCAGATGCTGGGAAGTCAACAATTGGAGGAGGACAGATACTCTTCCTTACTGGTCAGGTTTCCAAAAATATGAGAAAGAAGCGAAAGACAGAAGTAGAGAAAGCTGGTGAAACTTTACATTATTTCTTTATTCTTTACATGGAAAATAGATGCTTTTCCTACGTTACTTATAAACTATTTTCCTAAGAGAATGATAATGCAACACAAATCAATTTGAAAAATGGTTTCTTGTCCTATGTTACTTCACATTCTCGTTCTTTATATACCATGTAACCATTCAAGGCAACATATTGTTTTTATTCTGTTTCTTGCTATTAAAAGGTTGTTTGTTTTGATATGCTTGTTTTGCATGCCAAAAGAATCATATATCCAATGAGGAACTTGATTTTAGAAGTTAGGCTAGGAATAGGATTATGCGGGTTTACTCTGATATTTCTAATATATGTTTTGTTATGTGAACTTAAAAGTATAAATTTGATCCCTGATGCTATCTATGTTGAAAATAGTTGCTAGCATAGAACAATTTTGGGTAAAATCTTTTGTAAAGAATAATTTAGTGTGATATTGAATCAGTGATGACTAGACCCAAACCATTGATCAAATGTTAAGACATTTCTGATATTGTAAGGATCAGATTGTTGGCTGTTGCTAAGAGTTAAGAAGCTATAAACATGGTTCTATTTCCAGCCTTAAACTGTAGCATTTCTTTTACAGGTTGTTGAGGAGAGTGGAGGGTATTTTCTTTCCTTTTAAAAATTTTAATTACATTTTGCTTTGGATGGTTAGACAGAGGTGGTGGATGGGATTAAAAGTATGTTTTTTAAGTTTCATTGGTTGAAAACTTGAAACTGGGATCCTGTTGATTCAAATTCTTTAATTTGTGGATTTTTGGATTAGAACTGCTGTTTGGAGGGATTGTTTTTAAGTTTTGAAGTCATTTTTGAATTTGTCACAAGTTTTGAATGACGAATGGATTTCAAAATGCCTAAAATTTTTTGAATATATTCTTTTTATCCTATCAAATGCCAATATAAATTGCTCTCAGAATTTTTGGTTTTGTTTCCTGTTAAAGTCTGTTTGATTCAGCATCACATCAAGTATTCTTCAGATTGTTTAATGTTTAATGTGCTAGACAATAAGAGTCTTGGCTCTTGCATTGTTTGACCATAATTATCTTCTCTGTTAGGTGTATGGCATATATTATGGACTCTAATGAAGAGGAGAGAATTAAGGTACTATAAGATGTAGTAACCATGTTTACATTTTTGGATTCCATATTGTTGCTATTTTAAAGAAAAAAATGGTTGCAACTTTTTTTTTCCTGATATATGCCATTGCTCTTTGTTATTTGCACAGTCTCACATGATTGTAGGGTATTACTGTGGAAGTTAGAAGAGCACGCTTTGAGACTGAAAATACTAGGTTTGCCATTTTGGATGCACCTGTAAGCAATTATTTTGAAGCTAAAAAACCATGATTTTGTATTTTTTATATGATTTCCTGTATTCATTATTTAATTTTTGTTTAATAAGGTTATAAGTTTTATCTAGTTTATTGCTTTTGTACGTCTGTATTTTGTGAATTATGATATGATTCTATGAGGTTGAAAAAGATGAGGGATAGATGGGAGGGATAGTTTCTAATTAATGCTTTAATAAGCTGTACAATCTCAGGCTAATGTAAAACTGAACTATGTGATGGTTTCTAGTTCTATCAAATGAAACTCTCCTTCTTCATGCAAGCAGTGTTGCAAAACACGGTAGGCAGACTAGCGCCCAGTGCACAGGAGCACCCAGGTGCAGCTAGATGCGTCTGGATGTTTTGCCTTCAAATTATTTTTTTTTCAAATGTCAAAAAAGTCATTAAAAAATGGGAGAAAAATCAGAAATTGAAAGAAGTTGAAAATTTAAACACAGCACGTTTGCGAAACTTAAAGGACTAAACTGCCAAAAATAAAATCGAAACGCAACTAATCATTTAACTCGGCTTAATTCAATGATTAGTCTATTAAATATCATTCTATTTCATTTAAATCTAGAAAGTTAGTTTTCTTTCTAAATGGTCTATAAACTTTGTAAAATATTTTAGAATAGTTTACTGTACAAAACTTCCATTAATTTTAACAAAAAAATAGAATAATTAAATCAAAATTAAAACAAAGTAGTCCCAACTAGTAAAGCAGTTCATGATAAACTGTGCAAGCTATTAAAGCATGTCAATAATTGTGGTTTCTATTACAAGGAAGAGTTGTCAAAAAGGAAAGTTGAAGTAGCATGTGATAAAGGTTACAGTCCTTCAAACAATAAAAGGGAACTTATTATCTTCACAAAGTTAATTTATTTCAAAATTAATCTTAAGGAGTAAAAATTCACAAAAGAAGTTAAAGATCAATTTGACCAAATGAAGTAAAATTATTGCTAGAAAGTTAACAGACTAGACTAAACTGAAATAAAAGTAAAACATAGTAACTGGATCTAAAAGTATCTAAAAATAATGGACGAAACAAAAAAAACATAAAAGTTACTAAACTATTTATTAAATTAAGCCCATTTCACTTGCCACAACCTTCTTCAACCTTTGGGAATTGGTTTGGGTCTGGTTTGCAGGTCAGATTTGGGCCACAGCGCCTGAGGTTCTGCCATCTTTCTGACTAAAACTCCAGCAGAGTAGCTCACCAGGGCCCTCTGAGAAAGTTTCCGATGTTGCATCCTGGATTATGGCACAATTTTGTTGCAGATCACTGTTCACATGGGCAGTCCAAGGGGTGAGGTGGTCTCGTGACCAGTGCCTCCTGGTCAACTAATCCCTACTTTTGCAATACTGCCTGCAAACCATCCTCACTACATTTGATTAGAGTTTTTGAGATGTGACAGCTTAGCTACTTATGATTCTAAATACTTATCAAGTTTGTGTGTGCGAACAAGTTTGTAATCTAAATGGAGTTATGTACAGTACTGACGTAGGGAAGTTGTGAATTTGTTTACAGAATAAGATTCTCAGCTCTTCTATTCTTTGGCCATAATTTGTTGTGTTTTGAATGTATATTTCCCAATCAATTTTGCTTCCTTATATGATTTAACTTTGAGTTTTGGGTTGTTTGTTCAGGGTCACAAGAGTTATGTCCCAAATATGATCAGTGGAGCAGCTCAAGCAGATATTGGTGTTCTGGTGAGTTAGGCGCCACTTCACTGCATTTGTTTTGCACAAGTCCCATTTTTTGAATTTTTGATTCATTCTCCTTCTCTGTCTTGTTCTCTATCTGGCTGCCATAATTAGGTTATTTCTGCCCTTAAAGGGGAATTCGAAACTGGATATGACATATGAGGGGTGGGCAAACCTGTCAACATGTTCAGCTTGCAAAAACTTTGGGCTTATCTGAGCTGTTCATGGTTGTGAACAAAATGGATGATCCCACTGTTAACTGGTCAAAAGAAAGGTGCTGTTACTGAATTTTGTTAGGTTTATGCTTATATATGCTGTTTTATTTCTGTGTTCCTATTCTCCCTCAGATATGATGAAATTGAATCTAAGATTGTACCATTTCTGAGGTCTTCAGGCTACTCTGTGAAATAAGGTAATTGATATATTGCTTCTCGAATATCTCTTATATATATAGGAAAATGGTGACTGATTGAATTAAAATTGTGGGTTATTTGTATCTTTTCAATAAAAGCAAAGCAATTAATTCTGTATATTGATTGTGTTTTTTATCTTATTCTGAACCTGTAGATGTCCAGTTTCTACCTATATCTGGTCTTCTTGGTTCCAACATGAAAATGAGACTGGACAAGAGCATATGCCTCTGGTGGAATGGCCCTGCCTCTTTGAAGTTCTTGATGCAGTTGAAATTCCTCCTAGAGATCCAAAAGGTCCTTTTAGGTGTAATTTATTACTGTAGGAAATCATACAACTCTAGGAAGAAAGTATAATTGTATAACTATACCCTTTTTCCTTTTGTTATAGAAAAGGCTACATAGTGACTTACAAGGACTGACTATTTCTTGAGTCCCTATGACTTTAATTCCAAACATAAGTAAATAACTGGGTAGGATTCTTAGAAAATAAGACCTAAAAAATCTAACTCCTAAAGATCCTAGAATGACCAAAAATGTACCCAAATTATATTTTAAAAAGAAAACCTAAATCATGAAACTGAAATTATATTAAGTCTGCCCCTGAACATAGGAAAACTTAAGTATAATAAAATAGAACCCTAAATTGCTAAAATTAAAGTTACTCAATATTGATTCTGAATTATCAAGGCTGTATCAATCTTTGATTTCACATCTATTAACTATATGTTTTCTAAATATGCAGGATGCCTATAATTGACAAATTTAAAGACATGGGAACTGTCATAATGGGAAAGGTTGAATCTGCTACCGTGCGTGAGGCGGTGAGGGTGATTCCTTATTGGTCATGCGAAACAAGGTGCTTAGTCTTTCACCTAATTTCTTTATTTGTTTATTTATTGTTAAACTTCAATTCTGAAGTCCAAGATGCATGGATGGCAGGCTCAAGTGAAAGTTCTTGCCATTTACTGTGATGAAGATAAGGCTACACGTGCTGAACCCAGTGAAAATCTGTGGGTTATCTGGAATTGAAGAAGAGGACATATTATCTGGTTTTGTCTTGTTTAGTGTTGGTAAGTGCTTTAAAGATTGTAAAAACTGAAGGCTCTCATGTTTGATTCCCTAAAGAGGAAATTAGATTATAGAAAGTGGAGTTAAAAAGTAAATGGTAGGATAATTTACAAATTTGTTTGCAGAAATATTTCCTTTCTTTTGTAGTTTTTTATAGCAATGCTGGGACATCTTGGCCCCACTATCCCTTTCTATACTTATTTTCTAATTTTGATTCTGAAGTGTTGTTTGTGATTTTGTGTTATTTGTGATTTTGTTTAAGTTTTGCTGAATTATATCCCTTTTTTTTTTTCTTTTTTACCCAGCAAAACCAATACCAACAGTAACTGAATTTACGGCCCAGCTGCAGATCCTTGAGTTGCTTGACAATGTATGAATGAATCCACTTTATAAAGTCTTCTCTTATCTTTAATCTTTTAGTTCATCTGATTAACTTTGCATGTAATGGTATTGGACTGTCTCTGCCATTTTAGGCAATGTTTACAGCTGGGTATAAAGCTGTCTTGCACATTCATTCTGTTGTTGAGGAATGTGAGATTGTTGAGCTGCTACAACAAATTGATCCCAAGACAAAGAAGCCCATGAAAAAGAGAGTTCTATTTGTTAAGAATGGTGCTGTTGTTGTTTGCTGCGTTCAGGTTTACTTCTTGCCTTTTCACTCTTTTTGAAATTCCAAAGTGTCTATTCTCCGACATTTGGAATTATCTAGAATTGTGAATTTTTTTAAATTCTTTAAATTCAACACGGTATCATCCTCCTGCTTGATAATTGTGGGACTGCTAGAATTTCTATGTATATGGAAGTTGTAGCATTGCTCTGCTATTTATGCACCTTTCAAGCTTTCCAAGGTCTGAAGTGGTCGGAATCTCCAACCAATATTTACATTTTGTCAAATGGTTTTCACTGGCGGTTTATTTCTAACAGGGAAAGAAGTTTTGCTTTGAAGTAGAGACTAGCCCAATTATATTCGAAACATTTCTGTGTTTGAAATTTTGTTCATGAATTATTTCTTCTTGGCAATATTGTCTCAGGTGAACAACTTGATTTGTGTTGAGAGATTCTCAGATTTTGCACAACTTGGAAGGTTTACTCTTCGAACTGAATGTAAGTGACTGCATTTTCATTATTCAAGAATTACCCTGGGCATGCAGTGTGTAATTTGGATTACTGTGTCTGCGGGAAAAACAGTTGCAGTGGGAAAAGTCATGGACATTCCTTCAAGTGCCAGTGCATTAAAAAGTTTTGTTGTTAGAGGTGAGAAATTAAATTTATAGGTTTCGTTCTTTTTTTATTTTTTTATTTTTTTATTAATTTGAAAAATACAGTCTCTAATGGGATGTTTAACGTATGGCTAATTCACCCTGACAGGTACGTCCACCAGACTCTCCTTATGAATGGGTGTAAGTTGCAACACAGAATCATCTTAAATGAAGTTGCCGCGTTAACAATATATTGATGTCTTGAGGAGAGGTGAGGTGCTGATGCCACCCGTGCTAGGCATTGGTACTTTTGATATACTTATGGGTATGTAATGTTTAACTTATACACCGATTGGCATTTTTGGAACGCATGATTGTAATACATGGATTTCACATCAGTTTGTTGGAAAATATTTAGTTTTGGTTTGGGCATTGTTTGCTATGAAAGCATTTAGTTTGTCATTTAGGTTTTGGTACAATATTTATGAGTGTAAAAACTTATTTACTGCCCTTTCATCGTCTATGGCATCCTGATAATAAATTGAGCTGGCTGATAGAATACAAAGTGATAGCCTTGCTGTTATTTGGCATTATTTGGTAAGAGTACATTTAGCCATCTAATCACAACTTGATAACTCGAGGATTAGAGCTACTAATTAGCAAATGTGTCTTAAGGTAGGATTAAAGTGTTGAGGTTTATATTTAAAAAAATTAACTTCTTTAAATGCACTAAATTAATGCAGGGTGCACTTTTAAAATGGTCAAAAAAAGAGATTAGTCTTGAATTATGAATTGTTTTGAAGGTATTCTAACAGTAAATACCAAAAATAATCTGAAACCTAATTTGCCTGTCTAGTAATATCTACAAAACATCAAGAAGGAAAATCGAGGTGGAGTGAGCTACTGGCTCAATTTGCCAAGGACGAGGCGAGCTCTCTATTCTCACATGGATTAGCATTCCTGTTATTAGATGAACTTCCTTTTGTAAATATGTTGGCAGCTTGGACAACTTTTAATAGATGAAAATTATTAGGC